TCCCCTCCCAGCACTGCAGACATATCCATGCGACCACAATGCACACACACACACTCTCACACTCTCACACACACGCACACACGCGCTGCTATCCTCCACTGTCGGGCACCCTCGGGCAGCAGGCCTCCATCCATCCATCCATCCCAAACACAGCCTGCCTGCCTGCCTGTTGCACCACCAACCCCCCAACCCATCCCATAATGCAGTAGTAGTACTGAAAGCCAGCCAGGTGCGTATGTGTCCTACGGTAGCCTAGTTATCGATCCATCCATCCATCCGTGAGTATGCCTGCCTTCGCTCATGGGGGCGGAACCAAGTCCTTCCACACCCATGGCCCCCCCGTGTTGCTGCTGCTGGTGGCACCTGGCTGTGTGGTGGTCTGGCCTTTCTGTGTGTTGAGTGGAACCATGGGGGGCGGCGTCTCGATGCCGACCGAGGCCAGGAACTCACGCAGGCCCCCCCAGTGGCTAATGGGCTCACTAATGGAGAGGACTGACACACAGACAGACAGACAGACAGACAGACAAGGAGGGAGGGAGGGATATACGGCCATGATGTGCGATGTGCGATGTGCGATGTGCGATGTGCGATGTGCGATGTGCGATGTGCGATGTGCGATGTGCGATGTGTGTGTGTGTGTGTGTGTGTGTTTTGGGGTATCTGTCTCGGTCGCCCGCTCACCTACCTTCCAAACCACTCTCACTCATGCGAATCCTAACAAAGGCGGTATCGTCGAACTCATACAAACACCCTAACTCAGCCGTGTGCACACCCCTGTTGGGGCATGCCACCCGGCGGAACCGCCCCGCCACACCTGCTTGGCCCACACACACACAGAGACCCGTGGAGCGCGCCCAGGATGTGTGTCTTATTTCCACCCTCCTTTGCCTGCTCACCGAGGGCGGTGCTGCAGTGGTGCAGCGTCGCGTCGAGGTCGTCAAACGGACGGTACGCCTCCACAGACACCTGCACATGGCCACCAAGCATCGCTTCAATGCCCAGCCTCGTCTTCGCCCCCATACAGACACTCACCTGTGTGCCCTTGTTGCGGTCCATGAAGCCCTCTGAGCCACCGGGGGAATCGAAACGAGGCCTGCAGTACCATCCATCCATCCATCCATCCATTCGACCCCCCGACCCACCCGTTGCAGCTTACTTCACAGACGAGCCCGCATTCGGCTTTTTGATGAGTCTGGTGGGGCTCGGCGGGGGGCTCTTGACCGGTGGGGCTGGTGCGGGTGTCTGGGGGAGGGCGGCCGGGGGCGGCAACTTCTCTCGTCGCGTCGAGGTCACCGATTGGTACTCCTTGGTCTGGGAGTTGTAGGCGGCCTCGATTAGACGGAAGTAGCTGAGGTCCCTCGGGCTCGTGCCGAACAGCAGCCGATCGGCCACCTCCCTAGCCCACACGACCAACGGGTGAAAGGTGATGGGGTCACTAATCTGAAGGATGAATTGAACAACACACAAAGGATACACACACAGATGTGATGTGATGTGATGTGATGTGGTCATTGAAATGCGTGTGGTGGTTTGTTTCTTGCACCCACCTCCTGGGCGGTGAGTCTCTTGTCCGGGTCGAGGGCCAGCATGGTTGATTGGAAGTCGAGCAGCTTATGGAGTTCGGTGTAGGGGGCCTTGTGGCCGAATTTGTGGGCCACCTCGAGCTTCTGCCACAGCTTGCCCTTGGGCCAGTCGGGATTGCACACCTCCTCACGGACTTTCTGCAACACACATCCATCCATCCATCCGTCCATCCACGTGTGTCTCTCTGTGTGTCGGTGGGAGGGGTGAAGTACCTCAATGTGCTCGTCGTCATAGCTGTCGTCCGGCACGCCCCTCTCGTCCGCCCGCTTGTAGGGCGCCCCGCCCAGGACGAGAAGGTTGATGAGCATGAACGAACTCGTGAGGCCTGACACACACCACGCAACACGCACACACACGAGTGTGTGACGGCGGCGGTGGTCGTCGTCGTCGTTGGATGAGTACCCGCTGAGAACATGTCCGATGAGGGGCGATGCGGTAGGCCTGCGTCAAGCTGCGGGTCCGAACAGTCGATGCTACCCACGCGACTGCACAAAGGACACACGCACACACACGGACAAGAAGAGGTGACCAAAGCGAGTGTGTGCGTGTGTTGGGCGGCATGCATGGCATTTGCTGCCCACCCAGTCTTCAGCTGCGTGTGGCGGTGCCGAAGTCGCAGATCTTCGGCATCCAAAACGTGCGCGTGCCATGCGGGGGCAGGTTGAGCGTCATCGGCTTGAGGAGGTAGTTGGCCGGCTGCACACACACACATACACACACACACACACGCACCCAAACACAGATGGAGAGGAGGATGTGTTTTGTCTGTGTGTGGGCGTGGGGATGGTGGGGGGCTGGGTCTCACCTTCAGGTCCCTGTGCTGTATGCCCCTGAAAAGGCACACACAACACAACACAGCACACGCGCGTACACACACATACAGATGGGGGGAAGGCCTGCTGTGTATTACAGGGTGGCGAGGATGTCCAGGGCCTTGACGGTATGCCGCGTCCAGAGGGCCACGACAGGTATGGGCGTCATCCCCGATGCAACCCTGACCACAACACGGATACACATGTGTCACGCCACACAGGAAAAGTGCGTGTCTCTGTCAGTGTCTGTGTGTGTCGGTCTGCTCACTCCCAGGTCCATCTCGGTAGGTCATATTCGCAGTATTCCATGATGATGTAGGTGAAATCTCTCGTGTGGTGGGCGGAGATCATCTGCACGAAGTAGTCCGGGTAAGGCTGCAGCACAGTCATGATGCTGATCTCGTTGTCGATCTGCACACACCACACACGTGCACACACAGACGTCATCGACACACACACACACACACACACAGATGTGTCATATGTCGGTGGATGTGTGTGTGTGTGGTCTCCCCCTCCCCGCTCGCTCACTTGGCTGCGTATGTGGTGATGCTCTCGGAATGCGACCTTGATGGCCACGGGCTCGCCCGTCTGCTTGCTCCAAGCCTTGACTGCACAGCCATACGTGCCCCTGCCCAACTCAACGTACGGATACTGCAATCACACACCACACAACACACACCACACAACACACACCACACAACACCACACCACACCACACAGAGTGCAGTCACACCCTCTTCTGTTCTCCCTCCCTTTGTTTTTTCCTGCCTACCTTGACGAAGTAGAATCTGGTGATCTCATCGTACGGCCAGCGGGACGGCATCACCGGGTAGGCCGTCGGATCGTGCGGGTAGTCGCCCTCCCCCCGAAACGAGTCCACCTCGCCATCCTCACCAGACACCTCCGAAAAGAGAAGTGGCTGCTCCTCTTCTGCTGGCCTTGGCGGCTCGTCGTCGATGTGGGAGTGTGGCGGAGGGGGAGGGGGGCCGTGCGGGGGAGGGCGAGGGTTCTGCGGTAGCATGTGCGGTGGCATGAGGTGGGGTGGCACGAGGTTCGCCATGTGAGGGCCTTCGTCTATGTGGGTGTGTGGGGGCAGCGGAGGGGGGCCGTGACGGTGAGGGCGGTGTGGCGCCATGATCATGTGCGGCGCCATGACCATGTGGGAAGGGGGTCCGTGGTATTGCTGGTAGATTTGCGGCGGGATGGAGGGGCCTGGGTAGCAGGGGCCATACTCGAGTCTCGGAAGACCGAACAACTCCTGGCTGAACGGCACGGGCAGCGCAACGTGGACCCTGCACCACAACACACCACATCACACACCACATCACACCACACACCAACTGCTGAGCCGCATGCAACAACGCTGCTCTGCTTACTTCTGCTGTGACTTCTTGCGGTTCTGGCCATGGTACGTCTGCGTGTGCGGTCCATCCTGCAATGGGAAACAGCAGCCAAACAACACACGGATGGATGGATGCATCAGCCAGAATCTCACCTGCCTGGCCTCCTTTCCATCCCCTTCCCGTGCCTCTCCCCATTTGCGTACCGTTGGATTTGCGATGGCAGCGATGCTATTCTGCGCGCCGGAACCTCCTACGTGGCCTTGCCGCCCCTGCGGCGCACGGCCCTGCAGCCCCATCGGCGCATTGCCCATAGCGATGTGCGACTCGTACGGCGAGATCACCCCTTAGAACATTCCAGTGTGGAAGAGCGGCCAAACAGGGCACCAACAAGCTAATCTTCCCTCTTCAACACGCGACAACGATCTTGCAAGCCGTGAAACTTGTGTGGTCGAGAATTTCGCCCCCAATGGGGGCGGAGACGGCCAAGAAAATGATGATGTCATCATGAATGGTGTACCTCTTCCCCCTCTCTCCCTTGTTGCCCTTCCTGACGCAGGACCCGACTCGAATCGCGCTGCGCTTTGTCGATGAGGCCGCAAGGCTATGTGCCGCCGTATGTGCGCGCAGGGGCGGTGCCCAGAGTAGAATCGCATACAACCCAACGGTACGCAAATGGGGAGATGGCACGGGAAGGGGATGCATAGGAAGCGCAGAACGGGATAGGAGGCCAGGCAGCTGCATCCATCCATCCATCCGTGTGTTGTTTGGCTGCTCTTTACCATTGCAGGATGGACCGCAGACGCAGAGGTACCAGAAGTAAGCAGAGCAGCGTTGTTGCATGCGGCGGCTCAAACACTTCTTTTCCTGTTGGTGTGTGGTGTGGTGTGTGGTGCAGTGCCCATGTTATGTTGCCGATGCCGATCGCCGGCCGTTCGGTGTTCCGAGACCTGGGTTTGGCTTGTTCCACCCAGGCCCCTCCATCCCTCGCCCGATCCACCCATTCATCCCTGCCCACGTGCTCCAACAATACCCCATCTCGGCATACTACGCGCCTCGCCCGCCATTCATGACGATGAACATGCCGCACATGACCATCTCCCCAGATCTACCAACAATACCCCATCGTGTGAAACCTGTTTCTTGCAGAGGCTCCTCACATCAGTCATGCCCCTCCTGTGTCCTTCAGGTCATGGAGCGAGGTGTGGAGCTTGCCAGCAGATCACTGTCCACATTTTTTTTTGTTCGGCTGTGTCTCACCTTGTCTGTCTCACCTGCCAGCGGACATTTCTGGGAGGGAGGGCGGAGATTTGGCCGTCCTGCCTTCTGCATGCGCCCAGCAACTGCTGTTGGATGAGGACAAGAGGGAGGCCTATGACTATAAGATGGTACGCACACGCGCTCGAACACTCCATCCACTGCGGGCATATCCATCGCGTGCTTCCTGTGCTGTTGGCGGCTGGCTTCTTCCTGGATGGTGCAGGGCGTTTGTGAAGCCAACCGCAAGGGCATCATGGCCATGTGGACCAAGGAATGCGGCCGGTACCAGGAGGGCGACACAGAGATCCACACACACCCTACACATATCTACACACATCCACCCTTCCTTCTTCCCGTTGTTTGTCCCTCCAGTTCCTGTGTGAGCAGGAGAAGTTGAAGCCCACCGACACCGCCCAGCCGGTATGTACGCGCGCACTACCCAACTGCGACCACAACCTTGACCAAAGGCATTGTGGATGGATGGATGTGTGTGTGCTGGTTGTGCACTCCTTCAGGCCGCGGCTAAGCCGCCCGTAGCTAGTTCGGCTGCCGGCAGTTCGCCCACCAACGGCCGCACCGTGACACCGAGCGGGCTGCAGCTCGTCGTGGTGCCAGCGAAGCCTCCCACCCCCTCACCGTCCCCCTCCCCCTCCCCCACATCGACTCCCCCTGCTGCCCCTGCACCCATACGCGCCGCACCACAAGTGCAGAAAGCCACGCCATACTTGCCCCCGACTGCAGTCGTCCCCCAGCCATGCCCCAAGCCGCTCCCACACACACTCACACAGACGAACCACCGCCTTATGCTCACAGCGCCGGACCGCTTTGTGCTGGCCCACTATGTGCTTCTGGGCGTTTCGCCCTTTGCGTCGAGGGGGGAGATAGAGAATGCGTGGAAGATGTGTGTTGTGCGCCTCCCTCTTTTCGGCTCAGCAGACACGCCTTGAAATCGCCGTCTACATTTTATATTTCGTCGGCTGTGTCTCACTTCGTCAACGGACCTCTTCTGCAGAAGGGAAAACCACTGCGTCAGTCACGTCTGCAGCGCATCAAGGTATGGATGGATGGGTGAGGGGGTGAGTTGTGTGGTGAGTGGTGCGGTCTTGTCTGTATGTGTCTTGGTGTGTGTCAGGTGATGGACGTGCCCCCTCGGATGACCAGGCACCCAATGCTCATACAGATCGTGACCATCGCAGTAAGCAACGCATCCATCCACAAGTGTGTCCATGTGTGTTGTGTCTGTCTCTCTGTCAGGTTCTGTTGTCGATCCAACAAGGTCAGCTTGTGGGGCGGAGCGCCGTTGTGTGTGTTGCGTTGCTTACTGTCGGCTGGGCGATTGCAGTTCGCTGGGAGTCGCCGTCTACATTTTATATCTGTGTGGCTGTGTCTCACTTATCAACGACCGAGACCAAAGTGAGAATGCCGGGGCAGAGAGATGAGCACAGAGGCATAGTGCAGTCTGTGCTCTGCTGCATATTCCAGACTGTCACGGCTTGGAGCGAGAATCCGGCCCGTGCGGCGTCAGTTGCCTCAGCAAACACATCGCTCCAGCATTGAGCCCGTGATTTGCCATCCGGAAGAAATCAACAGATAGAATCCACAGAAGGTGAGCGACGGAGCAATGGAGTCATCATCAGACGGGCAGAGGGTGCAAGTGTCCCGGCTGCTCTGCAGTGGATGCTCATCAGAAGCTGCACAAGAAGATGATGGCCACTCCGAGCACTACCAACCACACGGTACGTCCATGTGTACCCGCCTGCATCCATAATCTCGATGAAAGGCATTGTGGATGGATGGATGGATGGATGGACGCATTTGTGTTGGTTGTGTCCTCCTTCAGGCTGTTTCCGTTCCGCTGTCGAGCAGTCCGGCCACTCACGCCAAAATGCCCACACCCAGCGCTCTGCAGCTGGTACCCCTGCCATCGCCCACTCCTCCTGCCTCCCCCTTCCCCTCCCCCGAACCCGTATCGACTCCCCCTGCTGCCCCTGCACCCACATCCACCACACCACAAGTGCAGAAGACCACGCCATACTCGCCCCCGGCTCCCGTCGCCACTCACCCCCACCCCCACCCGCCGACGCACACAGCCACTCAGATGGCAGAGCAGCCGCCCCCACACCACATGGATACTACCGGCTGGAGGTGTCTGTCGAGGAGTGGGGCGACAACGAGGCTGGCTTCTACGCCAGCGCACTGACCCACTGGGACGTGGCCTTGTGGGAGAGGCGGGGAGGGACCTGGGTGGTGACATGCCAGCAGCCCGGAGAAGACGTCTGCTGCTGCGTAAGGGCAGCCAGCAGGTGGTGAGGGCAGTGAGGAGCCTTTACGCCCACTCGTCCCTGATGGTTAAGGGACTGTTGGAGAGCTGCCGCCCCGACATCGCCTAAGCGATGGGGCGGCAGCCAGTCAGGCGGCAAGTAGATAGGCTGCCAGTAGTCTGCCACAGTGCCTGCGGGAGGGGCGGTGGTGTCCATGAACTCGTCGAGCAGCTGCATGCATGGATGGAGGGATGCACATCCATTGGAGCGACACACACACAGACCAGCAGTGAGTTGGTTAATGAGGGGGGGGAATGTATGGTGTGTGGCTGTTTGTGGGCTGCTCTTTTTTCTCACCAACAGGCAGGCACGCTCTAGGTAGGATGTGATGCTTGCCTCCTTGCCGGCAACGTGTATCTGTGAGAGGCCTGCGAATGGGCCGTCCATCTCATCTTCTGTATGGCCGTCCGACAATCATGTGTGTCTGATTCAGGAGCTGCCCGTGCACACCTGGGGGAGATGTGTGTGGTCTGGCGGGGTTTTCATAACCACCGACAGGCAAGGAAGCACTAGGGAGGTTGCTTCCTCGTTGGATGCGTGTGAGAGGAGAGTGAGGTGTGCCGTGTCTGGCTGTGGGATGAGTGTGTGTCTGTCTGTGTCGCTGTGTACACCTTTTGACGCATCCATTGCCACGTGAGAGAGCGAGGGGCGAGAGACGGTCGTGTGATGTACACAAACACACTGTGTGGTCTGCTGTACCGCCTGTGGTGTACGTGTTGCCTTGTTCTGCGTCGATGTTTCGTTGATTTGGTTGTGTCTGGCGGCCAATTTGGCTTGACGAAGTGAACATTGGAGAGGCAGGCCGAGAGGTGGGCGGGCGATTGAGTGAGTGGTATGTCGGCGGGAGGCCGGGGGGAAACCACAATAGAAAGTAATGTCACAATGGTATGCTCTCCCGTGTCCTTCAGGTCATGGAGCGGGAGTGTGGAGTGCCAGCAGATCGTTGTCTACGTTTTATATTTGTTCGGCTGTGTCTCACCTTGTCTGTGTCTCATCTAGTGGAGGGCGAGGGGGTGGCGAGGTAGGTTTATTGTATGTCAACGATTCAGAATGAGACACTCGTGTGTCTTCCCTTCAAACCTTCTCAAGTAAAGTGAGGTCGAGTAAAGGCAGATGAGGTCAGAGAGAATATGCCTTTACTCGACCTCACTGCCTGTGTATTCCAGGCTGCCACGGCCTGCAACGGTTCGAGAGGGTCATGCGAGCGGTGTGGGGGAGGACAGCGACATGGTGAATGGATGACATGATGGATAATGATTGATTGATTGATTCATTGATTGATCAAGCTGAATATAGACTGAAATTGCTGACCCTGGTCGCCTCATTTTCATTTCCTCAACGCATAGCAGCACAAAGAGCGAAAATGTCCCGTCAACGTTTTATATCACTGATTCACCATTTGCAGCCATCCAATGATTGCACTGACTGCAAGCTGCTGCCCTCATTCAATCCCTTCCTGGCCATTCTCGAGTCTGTTTGAATGAGAAGGAGTCTGTTTCTCGTGAGAACGTGTTAGCCGTCGCCCGACGGGATATCAAACAAGGGCCGGGCGCTTTTCCCCCGCGCTTCTAAAATACGGGGCATGTGAAACCCAGGGATAGCCAATGGAAACCTTGGTGAGCCGGACTCGCCGCCCTGGTCTCTGCAGGGTGTCCTGCAGTGCTGCTCGATTTGTCCGAATGAATGCCTTGTGTGTTCATGCGGACGCTCCAATGAACACTGCAGCCAGCCATGTGCAAGGTGAGTATGTGTGTCTCTCTCTCTGACTGACGATTGGTTTGAAGTTGACGATGTCGGCTGCTTGAGAAGAGGACGAACGGGATA